TTAATTTTTCCCCAAAAATGATGATTATTAGTTAAGTTTTAAAGTAAATGAATAAAAATACAAGTTTTTAAATCATAGGGAAAATGGATAGATATGCCTAGGAAAAACATTTTGGTATATTCTTCGCTTTCACAAAGTTACTATTAGTGAATGATTTTTTAGTTTAAAAAAAACAAAATAATCATTACTTGCGGTCCCTGATTTTTAATATGCACAACATTTTAAGCATTTGACGAAACATCATATCTTCACTTAAATGTGCTTTTCTTTTGGAGCCATTCATGCCTCTATTTTAAAAACCAAAAAGGAAGTAATTAATTCCAATCCATCACTGTAGTATTAATTGTGATAAATGTTTGTTAAATATGTTACATGCCTTTCGATATTTCGGACTAATTGCCGGCGGCTTCTCAATGCCATATTATTTGCTATTTAGGCATGAAATATTATCATTTATATTAATTAGTTATTGGCTCGAATAAATTAAATGTGCGGAAGGAGTTCTTATAATTGTCTGTTTCACAACTAAAACCAGAATGTCCAGAAATGTCCAATTAGATTGATGGATAAGGATACATGAGTCATATTGAGTAGCTCATGATGAGCTGATGAATGCTGAGAATACTTTCCCGCTGCAGCTCAAGTATTCAAAAGCATGCTTTGCAGCCTTCTTCAGATGATGATGATTCACCAACATCCAGTTGGTTGATATTTACTGTGAAGGGGTAAACGATATATTGAGGTAATAAAAATCAAAACCACAGAATCTTCAAAAATGCAATTGACAACGCTTAGTCGAGCTTTGTTTAAATGGAAGTTTATATGACAGCTGTCAAAAATCGACGGTTTGAGGAGCACTCTTTTGTTCAAAACGAAGCCATACGCATGTACATATTTCAAATTGTCGAAGTAACTGATAAAACATATAAACGTGGACTGTCAGCTGGCACAAAAGGGCGTCTAAGTAGCGCCCATAAACCATAAAACCCGTAATGTATGACCACTTGACACGCATTAAACAAATGGACTGCGCCGCTGCCGCTCTCTCTTACGAAGCCTTTTGTTTCTGTTTCGGTTTGGTTTGTTTTGTTTTTATTTTTATTCGGTACACTGCCTTTTATGAAACGTTCAATGTATTTTTTTAGACTAAGATTATTACTCGTTTGAATACATATACACACATACATACTATTATTCAAATGTGTTGTGTAAGCCTGCCTGAGCATTTCTGACACCAATTTATCAAGGGCAAGGGGAGCGATATGCATCTAAGCTGCGTTCACAACAGTAATCGAGCTCGTAAACTGGAAGAGAGGCAGCTGCCAGGGACATTAAATATGACGTGAAGTTGATGATCATTTGGTTGGACTGATAAACGAAACCTGCCTCGCAATACTTTGTTAACTGTTACCCAAAATGATCGTGGCACCCTATTACCATAGTTCTGTGTGAAATATTTGGGATATGAGTGTAATGGCTTTGACAGGCAACAAAAAATTATAATGGACAGGGAAGGTACACAAACATAAGTTCTTATGCATATTCCAAAGTTATAGGTCTACATATAAATAGATGGATCACTCAACACTATTTTAAGAGCATTTCTTTCCCTGGTGCCACAAACATAAAATTTTTTTAAAACTAACTACACAGACAAAATGAAATGCATAATAACTGGAGATGATACTCAGATCTATGCTTACAACACTAAAACAACAGATGAACACCGAAAAAACCGCACCAAAGTCGCTTAAAACTTAACTATAATAATATTATTATTCTAGGGTTACAAGTATGCGTCGTTTGCATTAAGCTTTTCGTGATTTGAGGGACAACAACTCTTTCTTCACGACCATTTTTTGAAAACCAAGACGCAGAAAAGGATTACTTGGACTGCTTCGAGGATTGGAAAAACCATCGGCAAAAATATAAATAAATTTTAATGAATAAATCAAATAAGCACCCAACCGGGCCAAATGTAATGTCCAAATGTCTTAGTAAACAATTATGTACTTAAAAGGAGAAAGAGCTTGGCTTTTGTAAGATTTTACTTCGTTGGTCTCCTTTCCACTTTGGCTGAAAATTGATCCACAACCATATGGATTAGAATACTCGGTTTGTTCCAGAGGGTTACAAACCAATCCAAACGCAGAGCTTGTGGCCTTCGAAGCAATAATAAAAAAAACTTGCAATATTACGATAAACAGATTTATTTTTATAAAAATAAGTGTAAGTGGTTTATAAAGGAAGACTTAAATTAATGTATGTATTTTAGGTATAATTCACAGGAAATTGAAGGACAGAAAGCATTATTATTGATATGTATACATATAAAACATTTAAAATAACTATGAATAATATAAACATACTTAATTGCGTGATAGAAGTCATGTTTGTAAAATAAATATTAATTGCACCATGTTCATATCATAATTTCTCTGAGCTATTCCCATTGTTTCCTTAGACGCAAGGTGGATTTCTCTGTTCAACAGTTATTTCTCTCGTACTCCAGAGATCCTTTCGCAAGTAATAAGCAATTTTGCATTACTTTAGCTTAAATGTAAATTTTTAATTTGAGATATTTTTAGTGTATAATTTTTAACCCCATTCGTCAGTATACAGTCAATCGTTGACGCATTCCCGCCCATTTTTGCAAATGCCGTTTGGAGGACTCCAATTGTTTGGCCGAAGTGACGTCAGCTGTGTAGCGCCCACCAGAATAGCATCAGGAACAATGGCGAAATGCAAATAAACAAAAATGCATGACTAACTAAATAGAAATATAAAAGAAAAAATAGCATATTCCATTCCATTTGAATGCACTTTATGTATTGTTTGCAATAAATCCATTGTTATTTATGCGCTTCCGCCCCCCTCCACGCCTACGGCACGATTCATGGGACTTCCAAACACGCACAAGTTGGCGGCACTTTTCAAAAGACAAAGTCCACAACTTCTCCCCCATCCGAAGGATAACAACGACGTCAATAATAACAACAACAGCAACAACAAAACTGTCGCCAACATTTACACTCATGTACCCGTCTGCTGTTTGATTTTATTGTTGATTTTGTTTTTTGGTTCGTTGTAGACCAAAGCACGTAACCAATCAATGGTTGGGGGCGTGTCGGGGCAGAGTCCATAGTAGCTTTAAATTGTCATTTACATGAATATTTAATAAACATCCTTTAATCATGAGCCCCACTCCGTCTCGCTGTTGTTGTTTGTCTGACTGTGCGTTGACATTTCCGCCGCCTCGTTTTTGTGTGAAACAGTTCGTGGCGTGAATCGCGCTGACAAGCGGCCAGGACAAAACCCCAACATGAACATGCTTGTAAAATAATTTCATGTGTTGTAAAAAAGACGAAATGAAAAAAAGCACGAATTTACAAGCCAGCAAAAAGCACGTAACGTACGTGATTTGGACGATGCCGACAAAAGTTTTTATGATGTGGCCCACTGGACTTGGGGGTTTCATTTTCACTTGTGGCCAGTTTTGGTTTTGCATTCGCATGCAAATGTGCAAGGCAAACGATATACTTTCAACACTTTTTAGTTTTGAAATACATCTCTAAAAACTTATGCCTATTCCCTGCTGGCTATCGAATATCGCCATTCGACCGTTACTGACCATTAACCATTACCCTAGCAGATCAAAGAAGTGACGTGATTTAATCGAACACTATGTACATTCAAGTCGGGTTAATCTTAAGACCGATATGTAATCACAAAATACATAATCGGGAAGTATTTATGCCTTATTATTTGCCTTCCAGTCCTTCACCTTCCGTCCATCCATCTACATATTACGGTCTTATGAATCCTAGTAGGCTCTTACATGAAATTCTTCGACCGTTACTGAGCAATAACCATTACCCTAGCAGATCAAAGAAGTGACGTGACTTAATCGAACACTACATTCAAGTCGCGTTAATTTTAAACTGTCTTTGAATATATAATATATACTTATAATTCCCAGTATGCAATACCAATTAGGAAGGTAAGGTTTATGTATGAGTATTTCTCACATAAGGTTAGGCTGAAGAGAAAGGATTCATCAGAGCCCGGTTTGTAATCACAAAAGACATCATCGGACAGTGCTTATGCCTTATTATATGCCTTCCAGTCCTTCCCCTTCCGTAAATCAATATAAATATTACGATATTATAAATCCTAGTAGGATCGTACATTAAATTCTCGGACCATTACTTGAAACAAGTGAGGTGATTTAATCGAACAAGACATCAAAGTCTGGTACATCTTAAGCAAACTCACTTTGGATATATATTATCCATTTATAATTCCCAGACTGAAAAACCACTTAACAAGATAAGGTTTGTATATGAATAGGCTACAGAGGCCCCCGTCCATAGAAGGGATTAATCAGAGACCGTTATGTAACCACAAAAGACATCATCCCCTTCTGCAAATCCATCTAAGTATTACGATCTTATGAATCCTAGTAGTATTTTTATGTATTTTCTCTTAAGAAGTTTAATTCAGGCAGTTGCATTCAGCCCTCAAATCTTTCAAGCAAGCAATATCAAATACTACGGCTGTTCTAATATTTTGTTATTTTAAGGAAATTGTATATTTTCCCGCCAGAGTTGATTTTTTAAGCAATTCTTGGGTACAAGTTTAGAGATCAAAGCTCCATGTGTATGTATATAGTTAGTAGTTGAATGTTATATTCATATATGTACGTATGGACGAATTAGCGCTACAGGCAACTTTATAGTCCAAAAAGTCCTGTTTGGACTATAAAGTTGCCAGACTTGAAGAAAACGACAACTCTGAAGCTTTCCGTCTGGGAATCGTTTACCAGTACTAAGCCAAATCAGTGTTTATTAGTCTGTCAATGGGTTGTCGGATATACTTGTCAGATTGCAAAAATCACAACATTTACAGCTGGTGCCTGTGCGCTCGAATTATTACAGTGGATAGTTAGAAAAATAGGTACAACTCGTATTACTTAATAGTTTTAAGAGGTAGGCGTAAAAATGAACGACGCACCAGAATCAAACACTGCGACTACGAGCCCTGCGGCCTTGCAGATCGAGAGCGAGGATAGCACAACGAGCAACGACGTGACAGCCCAGTTTCGCAGTTACATTCAATCGCTGCCGGAAGGGGAGAAAGTTGGCTGCAAGACTGAGCCTTCCTCGCCACTGGATAGTAACTCCCACTCTCACAAAATCGCACAGTCGGCCGGATCGACATCGATTGACGTTGTGAGCAGCAACAAGGACGACAAAGACAAATTAGCGTGGATTGCAAAGCAGCGGGGTCTGCCGACTTTGCCAAGCGTCCAGCAGAACAAGGCAATAGGTCAAGAGCTGCCTTTCTCACACAAGCTGCATTTGGTTGCCAGCAGCGAGAAACATCCATATCTAAGCTGGACAACGAGCGGCCAGGAATTGCAATTGGAATACATCGGCTTGCAGCAGTACTTGGCCAACGATAGCTGCATATTCAAGAGCCGCACCCTACTGCAGTTCATCCAGCAGCTTCGCTTGTACGGCTTCAAGCGCGTGTGGCTGGGAGAGAATCCGTATGCCACGAACCAGATGCTCACGTCGCCACCTTTACTTCTGTACTATCAGCATCCGGACTTTGACCGTGACGCCAATATCGAGCTGATGAATAAGCCCCAGACGCCAACTCGTACACTGGAGGTCACGGAAGAGACGCTATTTCCCTTGGGTAACGCTTCTGAGGCATACAATGAACGGATGCGTGAGCGAGGAGACCTCTGCTCCTCCTTCTACACCTTCAGCTCACCCTTAGAGCTCAGACGCGCCCGTTTGCAGACCCTTTTGCGCTATCAGATGGATGAGCGGCAACTCCGTGACCACGCCTACTCTTCGGAGCTGTTAGCGCAGTTGGTCCCGCGGCGAGGCCGTACGGCGACCAAGGCTCAACCGGAGCCGCTGACCACACAGGTGGCCAAGTATGTAAAGCCGCAGGAGTCAGTGCTCAGTTTTGTATCTGGTTACTGTCCCGAATATGCCGGCTACTATGGCAACGTGCCAGTGACCAAAATCAATGACTTCTTTTCTGAGTTCTTGCCACGCTACGGCAACAAGACCACCGGCTACAAGGACATTGTCACAGATGCGAGCAGTAAAGTCAATACATTCCAGCAGAATTTGCCCATAGGCCTGAGCTTTTCTGAGGACGAAGATGAGGGTGGTACTGACGAAATAATCAAGACTTCATCAAAGACGGAAAGCGGCAGTAAGGCGAAAAAAAATAGTAAGCGCTCCAAGCCTGAGGCAGCGGTCGATGATATGGAGCTAGAGGAGGCCATGCAGGCATTATGCGGTGGCGAGGACGAGTCACAGACCAAGGAGAGTCAAAAGGTACAGCAAACAAAGGCCAATGATGACTACTCGACATCTAGTGAAGATATGGATATGGACGAAGCCGAGCCCGAGGAAGTGGTTGTCTCCTCAGATTCGGAAATAGAAACCAGGGAGGCGGAGACTAAACTACTTAAGGTAGCGGCTGACGCGGAATCTAAGGCTAAAAATACCACCACAAACGAGAATGAATCCGATGAAACAGATACAGATGAAGACGACGTTGATGATGACGACTACGATGACGACGACGAGGACGACGAAGACGTGGGCTTTGAGCCGGCGCCCCCAAGTGCCAAGCGGAGCCGTTATGATCTGCGCACCTTAAAGCGCTCCTCGTAGAATTTGTTTCTTACATACCAATTTGAATAAAGAAATGATTAGTTAAATTAACCGAATGATCGTAAAGCACTAAAAAGTACCATTAGTCTTTGTATGTAATAAGCTATATCCCATAAATATAATTATTATGCTGTTTAAATGACTTTTCGGGTACTTTGTCCCAGAAACATATGATTTGACTAATTTTAAAATGAAGCAAAGGAGACTCATGGAGCACTAATTGAACCCTATTGTATGAGGGAGGTAAATCTGCGGATGGACCTTAGCCTCTTTCACTCAAATCCTATAGCTTTAACTGTGACCAACTGTGACTTACTTTCAGGTTGGTTGGCTTGTTGACGCTTATTCATTATATTACCAATAACTGTGTGTTACAGGATTATCATCAATTGAAATAAAAGAACAACTTATAATTGAAAACGAAAATGGCAGCTGACATAACTAAAGCTGAAGTAAGCTTAAAACAAGTGAGGAATGCTAGGGTCGTGTGGGTTCACCGCTTAAATATTTTGCACCCACTCCCAAAAAACAAATAGAAAATTTGTGTTACTCTTTTGACTCAACTTTTGAACTCTGTACATGAATAGTGCAAGAGTATGTTAGGCTGGCGAGAGGTGAACAATTTAACAGGCAGAAGGAGGCGTGTCACAAAGCTCGGGGTCGTATTACCGAAAATAAATTTTTTGACTAATCACTTTTCTTAGAATTGACTGATTTGAATGAAATTCAAAAGAAACAAATAGAAAATTACAAACTATTTACGTGTTCAAAGTTTGATTTATGTAGCTTCGATTTATGTATTTGTGGGGTTAAACTTCTCTGTTAACGGAGCAAAAATTGACATTTTCATACCCTCTGCTTGGTCAGATATTTGCAACCCTTAGAGGAGTGTTTTAGCTTCAAAGCTACCACAATAAACATTTTCTCTTATGCTTTTTATTCCATTGGCCCATCATATAGCTTCCATATTGAAAAACGTTTTAGATATACAGATTTTTGATGGAAAATAAATGTTATTCTATTTTACGAGTTTATGGCTCTTTCGTATCTTTTACAAGCTAATGTTTGTAAGTACTACGTAAAAGTTTCTGTGTATTTATTATAACATTTACTCTCATACAATAAATTGTAAAAGCTTTACTTGCACGCTTATCTTTTCATTTCCATTTCAAAGTTACAGCAAATTTTGTATTCCTGTTCAACCAATACTTAAAGTATTTAATCATTGGTAATGCATGCAAAAAGAATGGCCAATGGAAACGGCATTTCTCGTAAAATAGGCTTTACCCGGATGTCATGGACATCCGAGAAGCAAAGCTTGAAATGGTTTCAAGATTACCAAAAAGATATCTACATATAGTATGCATCTGACGCAAATCAATCATATGTCGCCTTCGATCCCACGCCCTCGCCCCATTATAACACATGCGAACAACAGTCGCATATGTAATCGTATCTCTCAAACTATACCGATAATAAACTTGGAAAACACCCACACTTGAACAAAGAAGAAGCGCATAATCATTGCGGTGTTTACAAGTTTTATGAGCACCCAAATATCTTAACAGACCCCAGAGCAACATCTACTTACAACGACCGTACCGGCCAACATACTCTTACTCGTAAAAGGCCAAGACGAAGGTGCTTGCTTGTATTATGTTACCGTTTTTGCCATTGGATGTGCCTTCGATTTGGCGCTGGCAAATTTATTTTTATAACACGCAGAGACCCGAAACACGATTTTTATCGTCTTTAATTTGCTTTTTATTTGATATCATATTTCATGGCACGCTGCAAGTTTCATTTTCGAAGAGTGGGGCAGCGGCAGAGGCAGCGGCTTTGAGGCGAGACGTCATATTGCCATAAAAATGTCACATACTTTTAATAACTTTATGACAGCTACAAAATCATAAACAAAACACTCTGACAGCGACAGACACACTCACAAACATTTGGACGGGCCGACCCGGAGACATGCAAATGCTCAAGACTGATGCGAGATGCGCATCTTTTGGGACTCATAATGAGATGTGTCATGCCTTCTTGCTGCCGTCTGGGTTCTGGGAAATGGGCAGCCATCAAATGAGGCTTGTTTAAAAGATTGTACACACAAGCATACATACATGTGTACGTATATACTTGTATACATATATGCATGTTCATACTTGGTCAATTATGGGTACGCAACAAGTTTGTGCTACTTTAGAATTCGTTTCATCAGATTAATTAACATTGCATGGTGGATGCGAATCTTATATTATTTGAAATAATTTATTATTGCTTATTAAATTATAATAATTAATAAATAATTTATTTAGTTGAAATAATTTATTTCAACACTTCCTGAATCCTATATACAAGTAGGTATATATTGATAACATACAGGTCTGTTCAAAAGAAAAGGTGAAGCTTGAATTTTCACGGTCTGTGTACATTCGATTATTATTATCTTTTTGTGATGCTGGTACTCATATATTTATTATATGTTGGCATTATCAGCCAATCAAAGATAAAGTCAGAATCGAAGGACGATGTGATGGCCATACCGAAAACCGCATTTTAGAAGTGCTTTGAGGATTGGAAGAAGCGCTGGCATAAGTGCATTATATCTGAGGGGGATTGCTTTGAAGGGGATAAAATCGATATTGATGAACAAATAAACAAGAAATTCCAAAAAATTCAAAATTCACATTTCCTTTTGAACAGACCTTGTACATCTGCATGTAGGTATCTTTCCCCCTTACCATCTTCAATTCCAAATTTTCAATTCTCCACATGAACATATATTTAAATTCCGCGGTGTGGCCGAAACACAGTCTGACTTATGACGCTCGCAGTATTATTGCGTTGAGTCTTTAAATGCCAAGTTATTTGTCGTTCATCTGGAAATGCACGCCTGGCTGCGAAACTATACGTTTATTTAAAGTTTGAAACCAAAGCTCGAGTGCTTTATGGGTTTGAGTGGGAAATCTTTATGAGCTCGCTCCAAAACCAAAAAGGAGTCTTTTCCACTAAATTTATTGACAAAGAATAAATGCCATATTTGTTGGACTCTTTGTTGTTTTTAACATGAAGTCATAAACATTTTTAATGATGCTCGCGATTGTGAAACTATTTGCATATGGCATAGGGGAGAGGTGTGGTGTGGTTTGGTTCCGGGTTTGGTTTCACAACGCACCGTGGGAGAAATATACAATCTTGTTCGGCGTTTGAACTTTACGAACTTCGAAAATAATTTGTATGTGTTTTTAACCAATGCTCCACAAACTACTTTGTTTGACTTCTGTTCTATTTTTTGTAGTTTCTAAGCTCAATGTAAAATAACCATTAAATAGTTAACATTTTTAAAAAATACATTTTTTTATTACAGCCTGAGATAGGAATACTCGTATATGTAGGGAGTTTTAAACAACATGTCGAGCTAAGTGGTTGGTTTTACTCTATTCTCACTCTAAACTCAATGATTTGTTAACTTGATTTTGTTAACTAGCACAAGTACTAATATGTGTACGACTATAGGTATTGAGTTCCATCATACTAAAGATGGTCAATTATTATTATTTTTTAATGTTCATAATTTATCAATTCTCCACTAAGACTAAGCTCTGTGCTCTACTGACACATCCAGACCAATACCTATAATATACCCTTCACTTTTTAGTGCAGTCTGAATGATATCTCTTAAGATTTACAAAAATGTTTTATAATCTGTTTTTAAGCTGCAACTGTTTAGCGCAGGCCGATAATGTTTAGGCATTAACAATATAGAAGCCGTCTGTTTATTAAATCGGCCTACCGTGACTAGGCAAATATAAAGCAGAAAACATGGTAAAATGGGCATACGAAACCTTTTTTCAGATGGCTTTGTTACACGATTAACTTCAAATAATAGACTCAATTAACCAAAGTAGACAACTCAATAGGCCTGAAGCATGACTTGCTCGACACAAAAAGGAAGCGGACAATAATGTGAGTAAATAAATTATTTGTAAAGCTTTGACGCAACAAGTTTAAAACGCGTCTGATTTCAATAGCGACATAGAACCAAAGAAAAATACAACCGCGGCTTGTACATACATACATACATACAATGACATCATTTGGCATCAGTGTCAACTTTCGAGGGCGATGGGCCCGAGGGGAGAGGTAAGAAACAAAATTCGACAAAGCCAATCAATTATGCTACACCGCGCAATGGTCAACAAGAAAAAGGTATTTACTCTGATGTAAAGAGTTGGGAGTTTGAATGAAAAAAACCATTTTTGGAAATGTGTACTGTGCTGTTTGTTTCTACTTTGATGTATTACCACAATTTGTTAGGCATGGCTAGTGCCTTCGATACGGGAAATAAACTCCATGCTGTGCGGGTGACTCAAAGTCGGACAAATTAATTAAATACATGCGGCGAAGTCCATAAAAAGTAAGGCGAGAGCCCAAGGGAAAGCGCCTATCGGGCAAACAACGCGGCCATTCGAATGTTTGATCACGTGGGACGACTGTTTTTATGGTTCATTTGTGGAGAGTCTCGGCCATTCTGACAGTAGCCAAACAAATAGTTGTATTTCTCCTGCTGTGGTTTTTACTTCTGTGTTGTATGAGGCCATATATGTGAACAAAATGAAACCCCTATTGAAATACGCAAATTATTTTAGCTCAGAAAAGTTATAAAAATGTAGCCACTCCGAAGTGGCCGTGACAGACCCTACATAGCATACAGATTCTAGATCACTATGACTACCCGATAAAGGCTTTTTCTTCTTCCCGTTCGTCTTTCTGTATGAACGCAATCATACCGGGAGGCTTAAGAGATAAATTCACCAAAGTTGATTTGAATAGAAATTTAGTTATAACTTTGAAAATCTTTACTTATTTACAGAAATCCCCTCCGGATGCAATGCACATAAGCCAACGATTTTTTCAATCCTCGAAGCAGTCCAAGAAGTCCTTTTCTGGCTTAAGTCTTTTTAATCTCTTTGAAGCGTTTATGCCAATTACAAGCTTGTGTGCTCGACATATCCGGATACCTTCTGCAACCTTCTTAATAT